GACCTACTGATTTTTTTTGATAGCTCTTGGACAATTTCATTTTGTCAAAGTAGCTCTAAAGGAAAAAAAGGTTGGAGACCCCTGCTCTAAGGGTTCATGTTGAGGATGATCAGCCACTACCACACCATATGAACAAATCACAACATTCCTGTCAATAACATCTAATTTGTTTCTCATATTGGTCACAAAATGTCTGTTTGATCTCTGTTTGATCTCTGATTATCTTTGTTTGATCTCTGATGGTCTGTTTGATCTCTGATTATTTCTCTTTGATCTCTGATTATTTCTCTTTGATCTCTGATTATCTCTGTTTGATCTCTGATGGTCTGTTTGATCTCTGATTATCTCTGTTTGATCTCTGATTATCTCTGTTTGATCTCTGATGGTCTGATCTCTGATTATCTCTGATCTCTGTTTGATCTCTGGTGGTCTTTGTTTGATCTATGACAATCTCTGTTTGATCTCTGATGGTCTGTTTGATCTCTGATTATCTCTGATCTCTGATGGTCTCTCTTTGATCTCTGATTATCTTTGTTTGATCTCTGGTGGTCTTTGTTTGATCTCTGATGATTTCTGATCTCTGATGGCCTCTCTTTGATCTCTGATCTCTGATTTCAGTTTGATCTCAGTTTATTCATTATTCGTCTCCAGTCAGTCATGGTTTAAAGCCTCCCAGTGTTCCCTCACATTACAGCATTTTCTGGCTCAGGAAAACTAAATTCAGATTTGTTCCCGACACCTGAAACAGGATGTTTCGATCTGAGGAGAACTGGGGAATTGAAACAAGCTGAAACATCCAGAAACCCTTGATCTGTGACTCACAAGAGGAATTGTAGAACCAGTTTAAACACTTTGGAAACTCCCTCACAAACACCGTTCACCATCTGTCTCCAATCATCACCGCTCAGTGAGATGCTGACTTTAAACGGATTAGTTCTGGCAGCCATCTTGAATCAGGTTGAATCCAAACGTTAGCTGTCTGTAGGTCGATTGTAGACATATTTAYTTCTTCCATTTCAGTGAATAATAAATATTCTTTATTCCTGGTGGACAGTTTAACGTTTTGCATGTGAGAAAAAAAGAGTTTGTATTGAAACAATCTGGAAGAATTCATCTTTTCTCTGCCGAAATGATTCAGACTCACCATGACAGCCGACAGCCCGGACACGCCCATCAGACAGCCCATGCCAGTCCCATAGCTGGAGCTGAGCATGAAGGGCACCATGCCCCCCACGGAGGCCGCCATCAGACCTGCGTTCAGCATGTGCCGACCCGGGAGCAGCAGGGGTGCCGAGTCCAGGAGACCTGCAGCCCAGAAACAGGAAGTGTCACCAACTTAAATCAGGTTAAAACCTCTCTGAAGACTCTCTGTTCCATCTATCAGCSGAGCCTCCTGGATCTTCTTCCATCATTAGGACTCAAAATGTGATGATGTTGATTTGAACGTGACCATCTGACCAACCTGAGGCAGCTGGATCCAGATCCAGGATCAGACTGAAACAATAGTCTACTTTCTGTRAAATATTTCATCTGAGCCACAAACGTTTGGCTGAAGCTACAACCTTGGAGCTTTCCGTAGGCCACCAGAGACCCACTGAAGGTGACGCCTCCGATGTAGGTGCCCAGGTAGGCCACGGTCTTAATAACCCCCGCAGCTGGGTGGGCGTCCAGGTGAGGGAACTCGATCATGTACTCGGCCACGCAGGTGAGGACCGCTGCCAGACCCACCAGGCTGTGGAAGGCTGCCACCAGCTGAGGCAGGTCTGTGATCTCGATCCGCTTGGCAATGGTGAGGCCTGCGGATCAAACAACCCAGAAACACAGAACGTTGGACCAGAACCACACAGAACCCAAATCCAAAACTCATCTGAGATGTAAATAAAAGAGCCGATGGTTCCGAGGCTAACACCTGGTTTCTGTTACAGATCTTCAAAGCCAGTAGCTTAGAAATCATAAAGTCAGTGAGACTGATGTTCAGGAGGAGACTGTTATTAAAGACATAACTCMAACATCAGGACCTACAGCTCAAACTCATTCTGGATCAGAACCAACATGATGGACCCACTGACCCAAGGTTCCCCCAGAGGCCATGGCCAGAGACATCTGAGACAGCAGCTCCACTGAAGGTTTCAGGGCTCCGATAGTGGCGGCAAGGCCCGCCGCCACTCCCATCATCCCCAGGGCGTTCCCCAGACGAGACGTCTTCTGGGCCGAGAGACCCGCCAGCGCCCCGACACAACACAGACCCGAGCCCAGGTACATCATCTGAGAGGGGACAGGGTCAAACACAGACCTGAGTCCAGGTATGTTGTAAAACCAGCGTTCAAACAGCTGATCCACCTGACTGGATCTCAGGTGAGACGGGTCAGAGCAGAGGATTTCCATCATACTGTGGGAACGTGGACTGATGACAACAAATCATCATCATCACCTGCTCGACGCTGTAGCCAGCAGCCACAGAGGCTCCGTATCCTCCGACGAACACCGCCCCCGGCAGCAGGTACAGGTAGTTGTACTCAGGTGGGTCGGTGGGTCGTTTGAACATGTCCAACATCCTCTGGGTGATCAGGAAACCTCCTGCAGGGAGCAGACAGCCGAAATCAGGACGGGCAGGTGGTCCTGTAAACTCACCTGGTTCTGTGACCACCTGCACACCTGCGATGTTGATGGAGGAGACGAAGGCAGCAGCCAGAGCCAGACCCTCAGGTAAGGAGGAGGGGCTGAGACCTCCACCCATCAGGACCAGACCACCCACTGCCGTTAGACCTGGTGAAGAACCACAGGATGTCATCTCAGTGACCTTTGACCCTAACTCTAAAGGTGTTGACCTCTGACCTGAGATGGCGTTGGTGACCGACATGAGGGGCGAGTGCAGGGCGGGGGTCACGCCCCACACCGTGTGGTAGCCCACGATGCCGGCCAGGCCGAAAGTGGTGACCATCTGCGTGAAGGCTGCGTTAGGAGAGATGATCCCCAGAGCGAGGCAGGTGGAAACACCTGCAACACAGAAACACACCTGTCAATCAAACAAACGGCGGCTCTGCCCCGCCTCCTGGCTTCAGCTTCCATCACAGGGACTCGTTGGCAGTAAAAATACGTCACAGTAAATGTAACCCGAGTCAAACCCAGCCTGTGGTTCTGGGCTGTCGGTCCCACCTGCAGTGTAGACACCAGCAGAGGTCAAAGTTCGGCTGAAAGGTGAAACAGCAGCAGCTTTCTCAGCCTCCAGCTCAGAYACAGACTTCTGTTTGACCGGAGCTGGGGGGGCGGTTTTAGGGAGGGGGGCCGGGAACATGTTCCTGCCTTCCTGCACACAAACACAAGAACACAGGAGGACCGGTTCTGTACGGGATCAATGTTGGGCCAGCAGGAAGTCAATCTGAATGTGTTTAATCTGAAACTGAATGCAGTGGTTTGAAAATAAATTTCACTAAATTAAAACTGAATTTAAAGTTTTGTGTCTGAATTAATTTTCTTTGAAACTGTATTTTGGTTTATTAAAACTTCAGTTTGACTACTTTCACTTTCAGTTCCATAATTCAGATTTTTGTGTCACATCCTGGTCCTTGAGAAAGCCAGGCAGAGTAATCAAACACAGATCCACAGATTTATGT